TGCTCCCTCCCACTCAGGCTTTGATATCCAAGGATGCCCCAGATTTCACTCACTAGCTTTCACATTCCTGCACTGTTGTTTGGCTTCAGACTCAGAAGTGAAGCTTTGTGTCACGCCATCCCTAGTGAACCCCCACGCTCCGTTTAATAGCCAGAGTCCTCAGCAGGCAGTGTGTCTGCCCAGTGCCCATCTTCCATTTGAATCTGTGTTGATAAAAGTTTGTGTTGAAGGTCCAAGGATATGCAGAAACATGCATATGTAATAAATAATCAAGAAGACAACATTATATAATTCAATGCGTTATCTGCAGACAGGATGGCATCTGCTTGTTTAGAGAACCGTAATCACATCATGCCTTTCCTAACATCTGAAGATTGAAATCTCCTTGGTGACGGAAACCAAGAGCCTTCAGGGTCACGGTGAGGAAAATGGGAGTTTTCTAAGAAATGTGCAGGGAGTCTATAAAGGCACTTTGTTGTAAGTATGCAGCTTTTATAGAGACAGGAGTCCTGGTTATCTTTAGCGAACCATGATTGATGATTGAAATAGTCAAAGCTGAAAATAAAAACAAGCTGATGTTAACTCCACATCAGCAACATACATAAACTCAGAGAACATCAGGTCCATTTCACATGTCCTTCTGCTTCCAGCTCCTCATTATAGAGACCCGATGACCCAAACCATCGACGATCCTCTCTGTATCCATACTTCCTACAGGTTAGAGTTCACCCGCGACAGCATCAAGAAGTCTTTACTAGAATGCAGCAGCTGTTAATTTAGAAGGAATCAGTAATTGGTGAGCCAGGGTGTTGCAGAATACATGCTCATCTGTATGATTCCATCAAAAAAGACATTTATTTTTTCCCTATAAACTCTGAACTTCTACAAATGTTCATCAACAATTTCTGCATTAATTTATTATATACAAACAATAAGCACATTTTTTAGTTTTGAATTCAAATTCAAAGATAGCACTGTGTTGTATAATCCACATCAGTTGTACCGATTGATTACAGAGTTCTCACACAAAATATATGCGTTATTACAAGAGATCTGAGGCACTTTACTAATTACATTGATCCAAGTCCTGGAAACTGAGCTCTTCTCTCCTAAATTAATATATAAAATGGTCCTACAGAAGCTGTATCATGTACAGTCTTTAACTGATTGTTTATAACTTCGTAAAGTTTAAGAGGTAAAATAAGTATTTTACCAAGAATATGTGAAAATATAAATGGATTAAGACAAAAATTAAAATTTTTGTGCAAACCTCAAAGACCTGCATCACATACCTAACTCATCTGATTCTGGTATGCTTCTCTTGTGCTGCAGCAGAGCCGTGCATGCATCTGAACTCTCTCTGTTAGTGTAAAGTAGGGCAGCTGCTAGGACATGCTATCGATCAGCCAGATACCGTAGAGCTCAAATCCTGTTGTCCTGCGCTGACCTTCAACCACCCTCTCCATGTTTTGAAGAAAAAAAATGTGCATGAGAAAAAACACCCAGTTATCATTGTGTATGCAGCAAGTAACTGCTGGCCTTGCAGCTAATGTCTTCTAGCACTAATACAGAGCATAAGTCACGCCCATCTACTTCTGGACCGTGGGTCCCCGGAAGAATGAAAAAAATAAATGCAAGTCAATGAAGCTAAAAACGCTATTTTCTAATTCTGCTTGTTTTGCGCCATGGATTTTACATATGATGTCTGTGAATTTTAAAGACACGTTTTAATACCAAGAACCCACTTATTTTTGAACAAGGGGAACGTTATTTTAGGTTTTGTGTGAAAATAAGTCTAAAACTACAAATGTGTTTCATGAAAGTGATGCCATCAAACCAGACACAGAGAAAACGGAGGGAAAAGGGCGTAAGTTCAGCAAACTTCCCACAGGAGGAAAGAACCACCATAAATCTGGTCATGTGGCATGTATCAGCTATGTTAGGGGAGAGGAAATTATGTTGTGATGTCACATATGCGACGTGCCGATTTCTGCTGTGTAGTCATGATAATTACGAACTTTTGCAGGCGGATAAATCTCAAAGTACGTGACTGGCGTCGACAAAACGCCCATCTTTTTGAATTCAAATCCAATGATACCACTGTGTTCATTACTTTTCATTTAAATTGCAGTACAACATACGTGCGATCCAGGGCAAAGCGGAGTAGAAAATAGCGTTTTTAGCCCCGTTGACTTGCATTCATTTGTTCGTTTTTCCAGGGACCCATGAGCCGACTGGAAAGGGAGAAGAAGAAGAAGAAGAAAGTATCATTTCTATAGCGCCTCTCAAGATAAAAATCACGAAGCGCTTCACAAAAACAGAAAATGTAAAAATATAAAAAAGCATTTAGAAAATGTTTAAAAATATATTTAAAATGAGCAAAAATAGGCAATTGTGATTAAAAAAATGTTAAAGAGAGAAAGTGAACGGGAAAGAGGGAAATCAGTGGATCCTGAGGAAGGTGGAATAGGTGGGGAGAGCAGAATAAAGAGAGAGTGGTGAAGAAGGTCATACAGAAGCCAGCTTGAACAAGTGAGTCTTCAGCTGCTTTTTGAAGGAGACCACTGAGTCCACTGATCTCAGGCTCAGGGGGAGAGAGTTCCAGAGTCTGGGGGCCACAGCAGCAAATGATCTGTCACCTTTGGTCTTTAGCCTGGTGCTGCACAACCAGTAGGCTTTGATCACTGGACCTCAGGGACCTGCTGGGGTGTAGGGACTGAGAAGATCACCAATGTAAGATGGTGCTTGTCCATGTAAGGCCCTATAGACCAGAACCAGGATCTTGAAATGAACCCTGAAGTTGACTGGCAGCCAGTGAAGCTGGAGGAGAAGCGGGGTGATGGAGACTTAGGCTCCCTATCTGAAATGAATTTCTACAAATAGCGTGCCAAACTTCAGCTTACCGGTCAAGCAGAAAACTGGCAACAGAGGCGGGGGTAGGGGGTAGGGGGGTGCCCAACCTTCGCTTTGTGCACGCACAGAAAGTGAAAACTACCCAGCAACTAGCATGTGCGATGACAGCCTTGCATGAATAGTTCACCAGAATGATTGACAGTTATGCGGACCAATGGTTCAGATGATCCACCCGAAAGAAAAATATCTTCCTTTAGCTAGCTTGCAAACATTAGCTTACGTTCTCCCTGCTGCTGTTCAGTGATGTAAACAAGTTGCCGACTTTGCCAGAGTTCACCTCGCTGGATTTATAGCTTTTTGTGATGAACCGCTTTACACTAGAGCTGATTTAAAAAACTACAATAAGTCCGGATCCCTACCAGTTTTTGTCGCTGGTGAGGTCACTGGATTCAGATGTTACTCACACACTGGTATGAGACAAGATATTATAATGGTGATTCTCATCATCTTAAATAAATAACGAAAATAAATAATGAAGAATTATCATTTCAGGTCCATCACAGTCAGTCCCCGACTTCCTCATGAAATATATGAACGATAATCTTAACCAGTGAAACACGTTCGCTGCTAATCCCAAAATACTTTGATGGCTGCTAGTCCGTTTGATCGCTGCAGTTTGTTCCCATTTTCTGTTTCTATCAAAGTTATATATATATATATATATATATATAAGACAAGTTGGGTTTACACCCTTGTCTGTTACTACAGCCAACCACACAGCTATCTATAACCATTTTACTGTGAAATCAACTAAATGAAAGCAATAAAAGGCTACAAACTGGCTGGCTGTGTCTTTCTACCATCTGTAATGGCTTAGGGAATGGCATGAGGTTATATGCAATGGTCCACAGTGTGAAAGGTGCCAAGTAGAGTCAAAAAAGGCTAGAAATATCAACGAGTCATAATTTAACAGTAGGATAAGAAAAGGAGTGAAAGAGGAGGACCGAGTCGAGGAGGAGGTTAGCATATTAGACCTACTAATTCAATAACATGAGGTCATTTCTGCTAGCATTAACCTCTGCTATCATAAAACCAGCAGGAGGATGAGTTCAGCTCAGGTTTCTTCTTCTGTTTTTCCTTCAGTTTCCACAGTAATTGTCAATGCAAACCGTAGATCTGAACATGGATTTCTTTGTGTATCACCAAGGCAGCAAGCAGCTGTGCAGTGTGTAGACAACTAAATAATTAATAGCCGAGAACATCATTAGTATTTCTACTGGTCCATCCAGACTCATGCTGTTTTTAAACTTTTAAACGATTTAACTGAAGGGGATGCAACACTTTAAATCCTGTTATCTCTGGGGTCTAAATGTGGTAAAAGCTGTTGTTTTTGCATCCAGATTGATGATTTAACCAATTAGGACAAACAAGTTATGTAAAAACCCAACAAGAAAACACCTGGATCGTCATCTCAGCATCTTCACTCTTTCTACTTCAGAAGAGAGGAAACAAACCGCGTGGGTACCCGTTTTATTTCAGGCAACACAAGAGAAGCCTCAGTCAGACATACAGAGAAAACACACCCACGTTCAGTTTCCCTCAGCAGGACAAAGAAGACAGAAGGAAACCATTTAGAGAAAAGACACCAAACTAACAGGTTTGGAAATGGACCTCATTGGGAATATTTTCTGTTCCAATTCTCTAAATCAAAAACTGATCAATAAACTAAAGATGCCATAAGATGTTGGAATTAACAGAGGTTAAAGCAAAATATTACAATTTGAATTCCCTCCATTGTTTCTTTTTCAACACTGTGAAATAATTAGATTTTTCTTTACCTTCGGCTGACATGTTTCGGCATGAACTTCTGCCTGTTTGTGGCGTCACTACCGTTTGTGTACGTCTTATGTTCCGAAACATGTCAGCCGAAGGTAAAGAAACATCTAATTATTTCACTGTGTTAATAAGAAAAAAGAACACAGAACGAATATACAGAAGAATTACAATTTGAATTTTTTACAAAGAATTCTTAATGTTTATTACATTAGTTGATCTCCAATCATAATTAGTGGATAAAGTGTCTGAATTTATGACTGAAAGTGTTTATTTGTTCTCATTGTACCAACCAATGTGCTCCGATTCAGTTTTCAAAAACAACACTAATGGATTAAAAAAACATATACTTAATAATTACTGCCCCACATCTGAAGATAAGAAGCTGTCAGAGGTTGGGTTGAACTGATGAACTGGATTTGTCCTCTCTTCCCTCCCTCTTCGCCCTCATCCTCATTTTCATTGGTTCTTTCCGAGTTGCGTAGATCTGGAGATTTGCCGGAGTTCCAAAACTCAACCCTCCCCGTTTTAAGTCAACAAATGTTTTGGCAAGCATTGTTGTGCCTGTGAACAATGAGAGGCCAACGTGAAGCATCAGATTTTCTCCCTCCGCACCCCCTGGTTCCCCCGCCGAGCTTTACTGAAAGGAGTCATTGTCCCTGACCTGGATTGAAAACCCTGTGCTGTACTTTTCCTTTCAGGTCTTAACTTTGTGACGTGCACGCTCTTCGACACATGAATCTTCACAAGCCAAAAACGTAGCTAAAGTCTTGTTGCAGCATCTACAAAAAGTTGTTCTGACACATGAACATAATCTATTTCAGTGCTGACTGGTGTGTCGAAATCTCCGATTCCAGGCCCTTTTACTGTGCTGGCCACCCTGCAGAGCCCCACCCCTCTACCTCTGCTGCCCTCCTCCTCTTTCCAGCTCTAGCTACTGACCATCACTCTGCATGGAGACCAGTCAAAGTAGTTTGTTGTGTTGCTGGTGATAGGTTTAACTGCGGGAACCTGCTCCTCTGTCTCTGGTCCAGTCTATAATAACATCCATTACCTGGGAAGCGTTTTGAGCTGTTTTCTGCGACTTAAAGGTCCAAACAACCTGAAGCCGTGGCTCTGTTTCAAGAGACCGCTAAGGCAGCCACCCTGCCGTCCCGTTCCTGTGGAAGTACTCCAGGAACTGGTCGAATGCAGAGACGTACAGGCACGTGTAGGATGGAGGACTGCAGTTTTGACAGCTTTGAGCTGCTCTTCAGTGGAGCGGTGGATAAGCTCAAAAGCCATAAAAGTAACCTCAACCTCAGTAAGTTTGTCTACTTCAGATTCAGTAATTTGTGTAAAATGTCGTTACAAACCCAGAAAGGTTTGTACATTACAGGGTCCTAACTGTCCTAGAAAATGCTGGAATTTAAATGAAGCATTGTTGGGCTTGCCTATGGTTGAGATTTCAGTAAAGTGTTTTAAACCAACTAAAATTAGTGATGCTGTAAAATATAAATGATATAGTTTGTGTAAATAATCGCCTTCGTAAGACGTTGGAAAATGTTAACGTACCTTGAATGTACTTGAGTTAGATTTTATCAAAGGTAAAGAGTTATTTTTTTCTTTCCTTATTTTGAGACTTTCCAGTTTTGACTCATGTTTGGTAAATTTCATCAACAGATAAAAATGTGGATCAAGTCTAACAAAGATGTTAACCTCTACGTTAAACATGCTAGACTGCACTTTAAGAGGGGTACAAGTGAAAGCTAATGAGTGGCGTTATTATAACATTATGGTAAACATTGTGTAAATTATCGGATTCATCCACAGATATTAGGATGTTTGGTATTCATCATCAGGTTGTACGCTTTTGCTGAAGTTCAAAACCAGGTACTTTTCAGAACTTATTGCTTTCTGACGTTCATAACCTTGAAAGTTAAAAAATGGGATTATGTAACATCTAGTGACAAACCTCTAGCAATAATTTAATTTATCAGGGCTTGCAGGGATTTCTATTTGTACATATACCAGGGTGACGGTGGCAGAGGAAGTGCCTGCCACATAACTCGAGGGTTGCAGGTTTGAGCCCCGCTCAGTCTGTCACAGTTGCGTCCTTGGGCAAGACACTTCACCCACCTACGTGCTGGTGCCAGTGTACGACAGCCTCACTTCCATCCATTCCAGTATCCACTGGGGGAAGCTGTGGCTACAGTGTAGCTCATCACCACCACCGTGGGTACAGGACATTTACCATATGTAAAATAAGCATGTGGCCAAAGTCTTTGTTATACCAGGTTGTCTTGATTTTACTTTTCATTCAGTCTGTTTTTTATTCTTGCCGTTGACGTTAACAAGAACCAAAACAAAGCTTGTGTGTGATGCTCTGCTACTGTGTGCTTGTTGTGCCTACCTGTACTACTGCTGCTGCTTCTGCTTCTGGTGGTTTAACTAATGTTTGTCTGACATAGAGAAACCTGTTGGATGTTAAGCTGCTTGGTTTATTTTCACCTCCAGTCTACTCTGTAAATCAGCTGCTCTAGACCTGGGTCAGGACACTGTCATGGGTCTTTAAACAACAAAAGTGAGGGTCAGGATTAACATCAACAATCATTTTAAATTTAATACATCTGTTTTTTTCCCCACACAAATTACCAAGAGATGAAAGCATGATTGTTGAAGCATTTGTTTTCATGTAACTGGATTTTAAAGATAACTGGTTACAAGTGACTGCCTACTTGGTTAGGTGACAGATCATTTGCTGCTGTGGCCCCCAGACTCTCTCTCTCTCTCTCTCTCCCCCTGAGCCTGAGATCAGTGGACTCAGTGGTCTCCTTTAAAAAGCAGCTGAAAACTCACTTGTTCAAGATGGTTTTGGTGTGACCTTCATCACCCTCTCCTGGTTCTGCTCTCCCCACCTAATCCACCTTCCTCAGGATCCACTGATTTCCCTCTTTCCTGTTCACTCTCTCTCTTTACATATTTTAATCACAAATGTCTATTTTTTGCTCATTTTAAATATATTTTTAATCATTTTCAAAATTCTTCTTTATATTTTAACATTTTTTGTTGTTGTGAAGCGCCTCGTGATTTTTAGCTACAGTAGACGCCATGTTTTAATACCAAAAACAAGAGGATTGATCACACCTGATGGTTTTATCAGACTTCCAAAGAAAAGCCTTGTTTTGTTAACTGCTCTAACTTACCCGAGCTGTTAGAGGTGCTTATGTGGGAAGTGGAGTAGATGCCAGGACTAACAATAGGAGGTTCAGACAGAAAATGTTCTGTTAGCACCACAGTAAGCTATGAGAACTGGCGTTCTTGTTTTATTAAACCCAGATGACCTAAAGGAGGTGCACAGACCCCATACTGTAGCTGATCTCATCAACTGTTGATCCTGATAGAACTGGTTCAGGTTTTTGTTCCATGTGTGCCTACATGTATGCCAGGACTCAATAGCTAGTTCTTTTGCACACGTGCACACTTTTCTCGACCTCTTCCCTCCTCTCATATTCATGTGATCATTTAGTCGGGCACAATAGGCTGGAAGGAAACACTGCTGATGTTGCAGTCTGGGCTCAGAAAGCCTTGATACCTGAAACCAGGTTGGGTCGAGAGCTGATCGGCGGGGAGGAAGTAGAGTTTATGAGGCAGGTGATGGGTATGAGGTGATGAAATGTTGTCAAAACGTAGTGATTTTTGAATGACTGTTTTGTTTCTGTCGGGCTGAATGAGGAAATGAAACTGTTTCATGTCTTTACTGCGCTTTTATTCTCACCCTTCCTTAACGACCGCGACGTTGTTAGAGAGGCTCTTTGGATTTTGTTGTTTTAGTAACAAATTATCAGCTTCTTATCTCAAAGATTTGAATGGTCTTGCTTTTTTTTCAGAGGAGGAGCTGAGGAAACTGCGTGAAGAGACCAATGTGGACTTGTTGCGGCAGGAGCTGGAACGAGAGCGGAGCAAACGGATGGAACTGGAGCAGAAGATGAATGAGGCGCTCAGAACCAGGTAAGAAAGCAGAGTCGAGTGTGTGTCAGGTAAGAAGGACGGGATCTTATCTGAGTTCATCGCCGGTCAATTTGTTTGCGCATGTGTGTGTGTGTGTGTGTGTGTGTGTGTGTGTGTGTGTGTGTGTGTGTGTGTGTGTGTGTGTGTGTGTGTGTGTGTGTGTGTGTGTGTGTGTGTGCGTGTGCGTGTGTGTGTTAATGTTGGAGCAGTCCAAAGTTTCAGACAGAAGCTGCTTGTAGACGGGGAGTTCCTCAAGGAGATGTTTTGGTGTTTTTGTGATTTGAAGCAGAGTAAAAACAGACATGTCACGCTCCTGTCTGCATCCAGCACTGTAACACATCTGCTGCATGTCTCATGTAGGTCTAGATCAGGTGATGGAGGTCACTGGTGCCACTTGTGATCTCAATATCAGCCCAGCAACATAACCTCAGAAATGAGAGACCTCGTATGAAGAGGCATTTTGTAATAATGTCTGGCCAAATGCACTCTTCTGGTCAACCAAATCAAAGCATTACCTTATAAGTGACAAAGAGCTTCTTTGAGAGGAGATTAGAATTTCCGTGCCTTTTTTCAAGCTAGCATCTAGTGCTTGGCAATAAAGCAACAATAGATATGAGCGCTTCTGTGTGTGATGGTAGGGGAAAGCCGGGCACGCTGCACCCACAACACAAAGTTTAGAGCTGAACAACATCCAGAATATGGTCGATAAATCATACTTCTCAGTTTTGTTTGTTAACGACTCATCAGAACCGCAAGAAAGCGTGTCAACCTGAGCATGGACAGGAAGTGAGCTAGCATTAGCCCCACTTTGGCTAACTTCTTCATGAAGCAGTAAAGATCTGAGTTTCTTTTGTAGCCAAATTTGCAAACTGAGATATTAAAAAATATTAAAGCAATGCTTGTTTAGGTGAAGAGTTAGCACAAAGTACTAGTTTATTCAGATGTGCTGATGAACAGCTACATGAGGCTCTGCAGTCTACTTACAGAGAAAATACCAACATAGATCTAATAATTCAGTAAATGTTTTATTAAACTAAAACACCCGTCTGGTTTTGAGAATCAGTCCTCCTCTGTGCTCGGCCAATCAGGAACTCAGAAATCGATTGTTTTCCTGGTTTTTGTTCGTCAAGTTCCAAAATTAAGAGATCCAGGATCTTTCCTGACCCGCGGACTTAGCATAGAGCTAAGTCACTCATGCTATAACAGATTTCCCATAATTGTAAATTTAAAGTTAATTTGCCAATTGTTCGTAAAATATTTTTGTGTTAAATAAGGTAAAGTGTATTTTGGCATGTTCAGATGTAGAGGAGTCCGAGCTCTGTACCGGCCCTTAGAACCAGGTGAGGTGCGTTTGTCCAGAAAAAAGCCAGGAAGCAGCCAGCAGTGACTGATGCTTCCTGCTTTTATTTCTGGGTACACTGATTCATTCATTCATCCTTCCATGTGATAATTTCATGTAAAACTTGTGTTTTCTCCTGTTTTCATATCGTTAGCATGACAGCTGAGTCAGAATGATCTTTGTGAAGCCAGCACACACATTTGATGGTGGACGGCCATTTTAAACACTTAAATGGTTTCCGCGATACATTTGAAGCAACGCTGACAGTGTTTCTTTAAATCAGCCCATCTGTGTCACCACCGAAGCACTTCCTGAGACGATCCTCACGTGACTGGAACTTTTGGTGCTGTAGAAGTGAAAGTAAACCATGACACATTTTTCTCTTTCCCACCTGCAGACTGGAGGATTCTCCACCACAGCCCCCCCGAAAACAGCAGTCACCCTCCAACCACGGAACAGGTAAATCGCTGAGGGGCGAGTCTGGGAATACGGCAGGAAATGAGTGCAGAGGGTGGGCTTTACTGTCCTTGGTGTGTGTGTGTGTGTGTGTGTGTGTGTGTGTGTGTGTGTGTGTGTGTGTGTGTGTGTGTGTGTGTGTGTGCGTGCGTGTGTGTGTGTGTGTGTGTGCGCGCGCGCGCACGTGCGTGCGTGTGCACGTCTTTTCTAAAAGGAGAATGTGAGCAGAGTGATGCTGTGCTAATTCGTAAAATGGGTTGATTGTAGATCACTTCATGTAGGCCACAAGTGTCTTGAGTTCCAGTTCAAATTAGCTGTGTGTGTGCGTGTGTGTGTGTGTGTGTGTGTGTGTGTGTTTCTCCAGCTTGATTTCACATAAATGAGCTTAAAGATATTTGTAAAAGAAAGATAAGAGCAGTTTAGGCTGAGTAAAGCCTGTTTAGTTAAACGTGTGTTCATCTCCATACTGTATGTGATGTGGAGATCCACCCTTCAGCTTCCTATGAACCGCAAAAACTGATTTCTAGGAAAGTAGGAAAAGCATCATTTTAAGACATTTAATCTTATCTTTAGTCTAAAAAAGACATTAAATTATTCTCTAAAATAAGCTAAATATTGTTAAATATGATCTACATTTTCTTGTTTTGAGTAAAAAAAAATCAGATAAGTAAAAGTTGCGTGTCTAGAATTCTCTAAACTAGCTAAAGAATCAAAATTTAGAATATTTTTTTTCTCTATAGAAGTTTTTGCTTCTTTTACTTTCTCAGAAGTCAGTTTTTGCAGTGTGCTGACTATTTTGGTACCATCACCAGTCTGTGTTCTCTCTATAAAAAACGTGTGTCTTGCCAGAGGGTAAATAATGACACCAACAATGTTTCTGTCCTTCCTTCTGGATCCAAGTCTCACCAGCTGGCTGCAGACTCGTTAGGTAACCTTAGCTACGGACCGATATTTCAGCCAAATGGATTTTGAAACTACTTGTTCCCTTTTCTCACTGTTCAGCCACAGTTTTCCAGATGGTTCTTTGTGACACAGCTCATGTGAGGCTGCTGTTGCTGCTTGGTACAAACATGATTAATTAGTGTGATTTTAGATGTCACATCCAAACAGCTGAGGGGCTGGGATCCAGTTAAATCCCATTTCCCCCCTGGAAAAGATCCCAGCTGTGTGGAAGGATTGTAAATGTAGTCAAATTGGCCTTAAAGAGTGAGTTAACTGAGAAACCGTTTATTTTTTTGCTTTTAATTTTTTTACTTGTTATTTTTGGAATATCTTAAAGTCAGAGTCCCATTACTCATCACACACTGGTGAAACTAATCTCCACATTTGATCCATCCCCATGGGGAGTGGTGAGCTGCAGCTGTGGCTGCACTCGGGAACTATTTGGTGGTTTAACCCCCAATCCAACCCATTAAAGCTGAGTGCCAAGCAGGGAGGCATTGGGTCCCATTTTTCAAAGTCATTGGTGTGACCCGACCAGGATTTGAACTCCGATCTCCCAGTCCCAGGGCAGGCACTCTACCACTAAGCCACTGAGAAGGTGACAGTCACTGTGAGCTTCACACGCAGGCTGAACGTGAAAATAGTCTTCTACACCTATCTCCTGCATTTGCTTCTGATAGAAATGAGATGGGGAAACGCTACGTTTAAGCCTAATTTATACCTCTCAGTTTGCGTCTGTGTGGAGACACCAAACACCATTATGTGTTGGCACAAGGGCTCTCCAACAGGCTCACGGAGGGTGATGGAGACAACTCCAAATTTTTAAAATCTGTCAAAGTGACGGAGACCACAAGCTTGTGGTTGGTCAGGACGTCGCTTCCTGTAAATTCATCAACAGCACCGCCATTGCCCCGTCAATAATTACAAAGATATTTAGCAGCAGACATGGAACTGATTTGAAAAGTCTGAATATATGAACGTTTATTTACCCATGACTGAAGAAGTACAAAATATGGAGCAAACATTTAATTCCTGGACGGAAATGACAGAAAGCGTGAGTTTAGAGATGGTGACCACATGAAGAGGTAGAGGAGAATGAAGGACAAATTTGTCTGTGTTGTAAAGTCTCAGAAATATATAAACACATTTGTAAATACACTATTGTTGACCGGTTACATGAGTGTTAGGGTGGCATGACACCACAGAACAGCACTACGCCCTCTGTTGTCCTGGTGGGGAATTGTTTTGCAACACTCCCCAGGTGACGACGAAGTCCAAGAGCAAACCGTCTCTGTGGATGTGTATTCGTCTGTCCCTTGCAGAGCTGAATGAGTATAAACTAGGTTTTAAAAAAGCATATGGTGTTTGCACTTCACATTGAAAAATGGATGTCTCAGCTAGTAGAAGCTAACTGTTAGCATTAGCAACACCACCACATGGCAGAACGTCTTCAGGCTTTCGTTCTTGTGGAGATAAAACATCAACATTGCAAAGCACTTGAAGTCACTGCTAGCATTGCTGTTAGCCAATCAGGCGCCAAATATTAGGAAATAAGACTCCAAATGCTGCCATGTTTGGATCCTCACTACTACGGCAAACTTCTACTTCCTGAAACAGGAGCTCCAGAGCTTTTTTCCCACAGATATCACCTCACAAGACATTAATTTATACAACAGTGCAGATGTGTTGACAAAACTCCTTGGATGAGAAGCAAAACATCTTCAAGAAACCAAAGAAGTCCAGTTGCCTTCATTTGAACCCTTTTGGATTATCATGACCTGGATGACTGAGAACCTTCACCAGCATACTGCAAATGTATTGAAAAAGAAGTGATCTTAGTCTTTAGTAAAAACATTTTTTCTTCTTTAGTTTAGGAAACACTGAACAGTATTTATCATGTTAAACAACACAACCATGGGGACTCTCTTCTCTGTAGTGTTTCATGTGATGCATCAATCCAAACCTTAATGTTTAACTGTTGGATGGAGCGGATCACGTCTCAGCCTAACGATCCATCGGTTCTGTTGAGCAGAGAAACAGCAGAAGGAAGTCTGGAGTTCTCGCCTGCAGAAGTGGCTCTACGAGCGTTTCGGGGATTACATCGAAGACTTCCGCTTCCAGCCGGAGGAGAGCACCGTGGAGGCAGAGGAGCCGCTAAGTGCTAAAAGGTAGGTGAGATGTGCTCTGGAACAGAACGCGAAGGTTCTGTGTTTGGTACCGACTCTGCTGCTGTTCCGGCTGACGTAGAATCAGGCAAGAGAGCGTTCATCCGGTCGGCACATGACTCACTCTTCTTGTAAATGCTCATTGGCATTGAATAGGTGATGCTTTTATATCAGCGTGTTATTTCACCTCCTGTTTCAAGAACCGTGAGTCCTGGCAGATTTACGAAGCATCATCTCCTCCTCCTCCCACACAAAAATCACCCCTTGTCTCGTTTCTAATCCTTATTCTTTTCCCTCTCAGGTTGACGGAGAACATGAGGCGACTCAGTGAGTACTCAGAGCGGAGACTGTTGTGATGTCATAAAAAGTTCTACTGGACACAAGAGTATTGTGTGAATTAGATAAACGATCGTGTTTTTCAGAGCGAGGAGCCAGGCCCGTCACCAACTTCTTAAGGAACCTCTCGGCCTTATCCAACTGGCACTCTGTCTACACCTCAGCTATTGCCTTCATAGTGAGTTCACACTTTATCTTCATTTTAATAAACACCCTCTTGCTGTTTTATCATTCCTTCAAGCAAAAGATGCCTAGAAAAGCAAAAGAAAATATTTTGGTGCTTTTTTTGTTCCTTAAATAAATATAATTTGGCAGCGCTCCAGGTGACTGATTAGGAGGCTGTTGTGGTCTAATTAGCTCTTTATTAATGTCCAGAGTCAGTGAGGATACCCGACTAACACCAGAACTGCCCGGGTGTACAGCAGGGCTCTGGTAACATCACTTGCTGCCACAGAAGAAAGCCTCTGATCCTTCTGCGTTCATTCGTTAGTCGTAGTGTCGCATTTAAAAGAAGATGGTTTCATTCAGAAACCATCATTAACTGGCAGTGCTTCGCTATCAGACTGACTTAAGCCCCCTTCAGACAGGCCATGGAAAACGGAAATGTTCAGGACTCTGTCCGTAAGACCTTTGTGTCTGAATACAAACATCCAGATAACCTTTTCCGTAATTTAACCGGACGAAGCCCCTAGTAACAGGTCCGGACTTGTTACGGACAGGGTGGCTGCTTCAGACCGGCGAGGTTGAGTTCCAGACAGGGAGGAGGGGACCGGGGGACGCTGTGCGCACCTAGATAGCCCGCTGTTGTAGCATGCGGCGAACCACGGCAGCTCGCCTCCTATGGTACCGTCTAGACCCGCGACGGAGCGTTTCACACCGCTTCAGTGATTCCTTTAACCATTGAGCTTCATCATACAGGTCTCTTATGCATCTTCGTGTGCGCACAATTATGCTTAACATAAGTCCGACCCCCCCCCCCCCCCCACACACACACACACACACACACACACACACACACATACACACATCTGGAAATTTTCCCTGCTGTGTGAAGGCAGCCGAAAGGACAAGTTCCGGTACGAAAGTGGTGTGTCTGAAAACACAGTTCTGGTTAAAAACCGGACTGAATTGTCCGCACATATTCCAGAATGTCAATCTGAAAAGGGTTTTAGAGTTTTGACTGAACTGGTTGGATGAATGTTGAAGTGATGAGTGATCCTGCGCTGCTTTGTGTTTGATCTTTAGATCTACATGAACGCTGCTTGGCATGGCTGGGCCGTTCCCATGTTCCTCTTCCTGGCCATCCTGCGTTTGTCCTTAAATTACCTCATCGCCAGGTATAAAACCACGGCCTCATGTCGTTGATCAAAATCCAGAGAGGATGTTTTGAATCAGTACCAGGATAGTAGAGCCATTTGTTGACTCGCACATTAATTATCGTCTCCTTACTTTTCATCAGAGGTTGGAGGATCCAGTGGAGTATTGTGCCTGAGGTTTCTGAGCCCATGGTGAGAAAACATCCCACTTTGTGGACCAGATTTCAGGTTGCATGTAGCTGGTTTTGATGGTTGGACTTGTTTTAAAACAGGAACCTCCAAAGGAAGACTTGACTGTGTCTGAAAAGTTCCAGCTGGTGCTTGATGTGGCTCAGAAAGCTCAGGTAGGAGGAAGTTTCACAGAACAGTTCAGCTGTTTAGAAATATAAGAAAATGCTGGTCAGTCATTTCTGATTTCATCTGTCTTTGCAGAACCTTTTTGGTAAGATGGCGGATGTGTTGGAGAAGATTAAGAAGTAAGTTTATTTCCCTCTAAGGTCACAGCTTTGATCGGTGTTGAACCCTGACGGATGTGTCTGTGCTGCAGCTTGTTCATGTGGGTGCAGCCTGAAAGCACCCGCAAACTTTACATCGGCATGTGGGTGGCTTTCATCTCCTCCTGCGTCCTGCCGTTCAAGCTAGTGGGCTTCATGATGGGTGAGACACTACACCATCTCCATGGTCTATGGTCAAGCTGTGAAAATGCATCAGTTTACATGATACTGGAAAAACAAATCACAATATGAATTTTTAAAATTGCAGGGGGGGGGGGGGGAATCAGTAGTGAATCACATAATAAGTTATGCTGTGCTCCTGCCATCTGGTTGACAATGAACCCGGTCGTGTTTTCTGTACCGCGGGCTTTTCAGTAGGTTTATTAGCACAATTTGTTCACCAGGGTCAGCAGTAGCTCAGGAAGTAGAGCGGGCTGTCTAGTAATCGGAAGGTTGCAATCAATCAAAGCTTTACTAATGTATAGCACCTTCCACAACCCTTTTCGGGCGCCCAAGGCGCTAGAACACATTGTAAAAGGACACATAGTCATAAAAAGAGAAGTTAAAACATGGGACATAAAACGTAGAGCATAAAGCAAAAGGATAAAACAATGAATGAAAGCGACCTAACAAGGAATAAAACAGGAATTAAAAACAAGAACTAAAAGTAACATAAGAGCAAGCTGACTTCAAACATGTTCTGGAAATGCTAATAAAGAGTTTTCAGTCGACTCTTAAAATCCGGCAAAGGGGTAGACGGCGTAACTGCAGGTGGCAGCTGGTTCCACGGTGATGGGGCTAGGACCGAGAAAGCCCGGCCCCCACGAGTTCGACACTTGGTGCGAGGAACGACAAGGAGGCCCTGATCAGAAGAGTGCATGAAGGCAAATGTGTCTTCAGAAGCGCTGCTAAGTAAGGAGGGGCGTTGCCCTGAAAGAAATTAAACACAAAAACCAGGAGTTTAAAACGTGCCTGATAAAAAACAGGAAGCCATTGATGGGAGGCCAGCACAGGACTGATGTGAACCCACTTCCTGGACCCAGGCAGAAACCTGGCGGTGCTTTTCTGTGCAATCTGAAGACGACACAGTGATGACTGACCGAGCCCGGCATAGAGAGAATTGTAGTAATCTAATCTAATCTTGCCGGTTCAATCCCTACTCCAACCAGAGAATGCTGATGTTGTGTCCTTGGGCAAGACACTTAACCTGCTTTGCCTGCTGGCGGTGGTCAGAGGGACCGGTGGCGTCTGTGTTCTGCAGGCCTTGCCTCTGTCAGTGACCCCAGGGCAACTGCAGCGACATTGTAGCTCATCCCCACCAGCGCGTGATTGGGTGAATGAGTGATTGTGTTGTGAAGCGCTTTGGGGAGTCGTAGAACCCTAAGAAGGCGCTATAAATACAGGCTATTCACTAATACCATCAGAACAACAAACTACAGATCAGAGTTTTTGTGCTGGAGTTGGTCTGAACTTCGGCGAACCATGAAAACAGGCATGAGCTGAACGAGAGGTTTAGCTAAGACAAGACAACAGTGAAACCTGTTTGTGCCAAGTGTTACTTCAATGTGTTATTATGTATGGTAATGTTATTCAGACTGGAGCCAGCTAGCTCCATGTTGCAGCCTGAAGCTACACGATGTTGGCATGGCAAACCATCCTGTAGTCTAGCCACGACCTATAGACCGGGCTCGGTCATGGAGCAGAATCTCCGGTTGTCTTTCAGACTGTCTCCACTTGTTATTGGACAACAGTGTGACATACTCATCGCTACGGATGTCATTCAGGGGGCAGTTCACCTTACTCCATAAAAGAAGATACATACATCTTTTTTTCTAAATAAAGGATTTAAAGACCTCTATCTGCTCTTGACTCAAAGTAAAACGAAGAAAAACAGTGCAAAGTTGAAGCTAAAGCTGTTTCAAAACGAGCCGCCGCCATCTTCGCTGTTCTGCTCCGCTGCATCAGCCCGCCCACCAAACCGATTGAGCGCTGTGATTGGCATAACACAAAACCGTTCGGGCCAATGGTAGACCTGCTGAGGCTCCTATGGAGCGTGGCTAATCTAACATGCAGTCTAGGTTTCTAGGCTAACACAATGAAACTTCCTATGAAATAAAGCAACAGTTTAATACTTTATTAATGTAATAATACTGATCACATGACCTTTTGGAGAATGTGTTAAGTGATTTTATTTTAATAAAGGAAGTCGTTTCTTACATCTAACATTTATGTGAGGTTTTTTCTTTTTTAGAAAAACACTGAAATATTTTGGGTTTACAGGCAGATTTTAAGCAGAAGTCTCTGATTAAACAATTATAATGCAAGTAATGGATTTTTTTGTATTTTGAATTGTTGGATAAAGTTGTATTCATCGACCGTAAGACACATGCTAGGTGAAAACGATAAAACTGAGTAAATAAAATAAATTAGAGAAATCAAGTTGATGCCGTCGGGCTCTTTGTGGTCCAACTAGCTGGTCTGTAACATCAGGTAGGATCTCACCTGGGATCTTACTGAGACACCTGCTTAGTGAATACGTGCACATCCAGTTCACACAAACGCATGCATGTAGACACTGAGTTGAGAGTTTTTCTTGTAGACAATGAGTCCCTGGACAGTTGTTGTCTCAGATGTCCCTGCTAGACACAAACAGCCATTAGAGCAGGCCTGAGTCTGTTGGAGATGATTGCTGAAGTCCTCTGGTCTCCACAGGTGTGTACGCTGGTATCAAGTTCTTCATCATAGACTTCCTGTTTAAGAGCTGCCCAAAGCTTCGGGACAAGTACGACACCCCATACATCGTGTGGAACAGCCTGCCCACAGACCCCCAGCTCAAAGAGAGGACCAACGCCACCGTGTCACGGCGGGTATGAGGACTACACCCCCAGCTCTCATTATACACCATTTAACACACAAGTCTCAGGTTCTACATATCATGTGACTGAAGTGTTTGATGTTTCAAACCACCTTTAGATGTGTGTCTGCCTCTAACTGTCCCCCACCACCCCTACATAGTAGAGCAAAGAGGAGATCAATAAAGTACCAAAATACCCTCATTCCCATAATTAAACATCACACCCATCACTGTGTGTGTGTGTGAGTGAGTGTGTCCTTGTCACAGGTGTGTTTTGTTGTCTCTTTCTCAGCTCTCCTGCATTGAGAAGGTAGGGGATTCTGGTGTCTCTGTCCTCAAGTGTCCTATGAGTTCACGTCAGCGTGTGTGTGTGTGTGTGTGTGTGGGGGGGGGGGGGGTGTATGGTGTGCATTAAGTTTTCGTCAAGGGTAGGGTTAGGAATAGATCAGCAATGGTTAGTGTTCGAATATGGGTTAGGAAAGACAGGTGTGTGTGTGTGTGTGTGTGTGTGTGTGTGTGTGTGTGTGTGTGTGTGTGTGTGTGTGTGTGTGTGTGTGTGTGTGTGTGTGTGTGTGTGTGTGTGTGTGTGTGTGTGTGTGTGTGTGTGACACTGGAACCACTTGCTATTAAGTGATCAAAAATGTCAACCAACACTCAGCAGAACCTGGACAGGTTTGCTTTATTATTTTTTTCCAAACTGTATTTTTTGAGTAAACATATTAAATATTCTTAACATTAAGTTATTTTAAGGCTTGATTAAATCCTTGTGGATGACCTGGTGACATTTCTGACCCGCGGCTGTAGAAGCTCCGTGAGACGTAGCAGTTACCGACTAGCTCATTTATGACTGATTAGCTCATTTAACTCTGCTGTTTGCTTTAATAAACACGAGTTCCTGTTGTTGCTGTTAGCGTGTGTTAGCCCCCAGCTCAGCTGGTTTGTAATGTAGGACTTGTGACCCTGTAGATGTTACCAGTGAGAAGTTCATTACATCTGTGTTTATCCTCCTGTCGTTGTGGAAGCTGCAGAAATATCCATCTCACTCTGAGCTTTCTTATCACACCTGAACCAGGTGCAGTCACTGCTTTAGGTTCTGATGCTCGTTTCTGTAAAAGTCATCAGATTCTGACCTGTTCCTCTCTTTCTCCCCCCTTTTTTTCATCCTTTGTTCCATTTACTTTCATTCTCTTGCCATTTTCTTGTTTTATCCTCCCTGTGCCCCCCCCAGGTTCAGCCGGTGGTATCTCGGGGCAGCCTGGCCACCATCCCGAGTGGCATGAGTCGAGAGGAAGAGACTGGTCGCTCTCACAGCACGAAGAAGGGGGCCTTCCATGAGATCTTCAGCCTGTCTGAGTCAGAGCGCCCTCTGGCGGGTGAGAAGAGGCTTTACAGCGCTGCAAAATCAACTGAACTTGATAAAGTCTAGAGAAAGAAAACACAATCTAGGTCTTTTAATGAAACCTTGTTTTTTGTTGCCAGTGTGTGAGAACGGCTGGAGGTGTTGTCTGATAAACAGAGACCGAAAGATGCCCACAGATTACATCAGGAACGGAGTTCTCTACGTCACAGAGAAGTGGGTGGAGCTTAGAGCCTCACACTTGTGAGAGAGCAGACCTCCCCCTTTCTAAAGCCTTTCTCCTGTTTTCCTCCCATTAGTTACCTGTGCTTTGAGAGCTCCAGCTCCAAATCCAGCTCCTCCAAGAAAAACAAAGTCATCAAGCTGGTGGACATCACCGACATCCAGAAGGTATCCCCTCTGGTTATCTGAGACTCGTGTGAAACACCACGCGTTCGAGATATCTATGTTCCTCTGAACGTGTCACTTGTTTCCTCCACAGTACAAGGTGTTGTCAGTGCTGCCAGGAAGTGGGATGGGCATCTCTATAGCCACGCCCTCTACTCAGAAGGTACGGCGTGTTGTGTCCGCTGCTTTTAGACGTTTAAATTCAAGTGTCAGATAATAAAGCTGTAGGGTTTGATGATCAGCTGAAAGGCAAAAGTGGATTCATCTCATTTAACCAAATTCAAACCTAACGAAGGTCGAGCGATCGGCTGAACTTATCAATCTTTTTTTAATGCTTTAATTTGTCTCGCAGGTGAGACTTTACAAACTACTTGTTGACACACAACACTTTTTTCAAACCACCCAAGAGTTTCAAAGTCACCCTCATTATCACACGAGTGACTTGAACCAATTCAACGATCATGATTGGTGGATCGCTGCAGTTAGCGCGTGCCAGGCACAGAAAAAGTCTAAAGTCATCTGTGTGGACACACCGCCCATCATGCTTTGTTGAACTGATGAGCAATCTTAGTCTTAACAAACCTGTGTGTGAACACACATCTGCATTTGATGTTATTATATATGAAGGAAAAGATTGTCCAAAAACAAGCTTCAAAGCCCTGATCTGCTGCGTCTCCTCCAGCCGCTGGTGTTCGGCGCCATGATGCACAGAGACGAGGCATTCGAGGCCATCTTCACTCAGTACATGAAGATCCTGACCACCTCCAAACCTCCAGCCAGCACAGAGCTCTAGACTGCCTGCTCTCCTCCACCGCGGGGCTTCAGACCCAGGCAGAGAGCCTTCTCTACAGCCTCCTTTCTCCTCGTCGCATCAGGGATCCTAAAAGAAGTCCCGGGCTTTGGCGGGCGGATTTGGCGTTTATGCTGGATGGGATCTGAGTGGAGGACCGGGAATAGTAGTCTGTATCAGTCAGAGGACTAGCGAGGAGCCGGCTCTCCTCTCAAACCTCACAGACCAACAGACTCACTCGCTTTACTCGTCTCTGTGTTAGCATGTGTGAGTGTGTGTTAAGTGGCTCAGTTGTCCTCTGTTTTTGATTTTGGTCACTGGAGTGATGCCCACTGTGGTAGGGAGACTAAAACCCTCACATCTGTTAGTTTCAGCTTCAGAACCTGCAGCAGTCGGTAAACTGGTGCCTCCTGGCATAGCTCATCACAATAATCAGTGTACCCGTCTGAGTGTGTTGTGTTTTTAGCTGTGAAAATGTCCGACACACGACAGGCAGCCCTTTTCTTACCATGTGCTTTTTTAAAATACCTTTCAGCAGCAGCTGTCGGCTGCCAAGCAGACAATGCTGAAACCTCTGCTAATGTGTGTGTTGGTGTTGATTCCTGAAACGTGACAAATCTTTAGCCTGCTTTCGTTTGGAAACTTCTTTAGCCACCAGGTGGAGAGCACAACACAGACTGCCTACTCATGGCACAGATAGGAACCACATCTCCTCGTGTGTATTTTTTTTTACATGACTGGTATTCTTCCTGCAATTTACCAGAACGTTAACACCCTCAGCTGTTCTACGTTGTCTTTGGGTGAAGTTCTGCTAAATTAGCCCAAAAAGCCCTCAAACGTCTCATGTTGAAGGAGGAAACGTGATCCCTACAGCTGTGGGAGGCTTCTCACACATCCAGATCGGTCAGTATTCAGGAGTTGGATGTATAAGCCTGCTAACAAAGGCCGCCTCTGATTGCACTTGTGTAATAGCTCATCTGTTTGGGTTCATCTAATCAGGATTTAATTAGCCGGATTCCATTTTTAAGCCTAGAAACGATGATGCTAAGCTACTGTTGTTAGTGACTGCTCTTGTACGGGATACAGATTTAGACTCTGTTTTTAAACGCCCTTCCCAAGAGCAGAGCTGGTCTTTGCTCTTGCAGGATTTCATGCCAAACTCCATCAGTTTTAGAGATGAGTGCAATCCAGAAGTGGAGGTTTCTTTGGTTTTCCTCCACAGCAGCACAGGGTTTAGCTTCCTCATCCATCCGTCAGATGAGAAACCTGAACGTTTAAAACGGGAACAACGATGTCTGATCCTCCATGGGAGCAGAGAATCGTAATTAACTGCCCTTCAGAACTGCCCTCACTCCTAAAACGTCGAGGTTCCTCTAGCTGGATATGAAGCTGGTAAACGGCTGACCGGCTCAGGCGGATGTTTGCTTTCCGTTTGGCTGCCTTCCTGGTGTCGTATTTATTTTTCTTTTAGGGATGAACTCTTCCGTCCTCTCGCTGCGATCAGACGGCTCGCCCTCGTTTAAAAACGTTTGCCTTTTCTGGAATCGATCACTGAGAACTCTCGGTTGGTGTTCTGGAGCGGAACCGAGCTGTTCTCACGTAAAGCACAGAATGTTGAGCTGTTTTTGTTTTTCTTCTGCCAAAACTGTTCTGCCTACACTCATGTTTACAGAAGAGAAAATGTATTATTGTCTTAGAGCGGGTCTAGTTTGAATTCCTTTGGTTTGGAGTAATGAGGACTGGACTGCTTTCGCCCTTATTGGTTCTGCTACCCTCACATGACCCACGCAGCAGTATTTAAAGCCTCTGATAGCATTTACACTGTCCTGTTCAGCCTTTCTTAAGTTTAAAAATGGCAATTTTTCAGTTTTATTGTTTTTCCATCAATCTGAACAATATTTAGTAATCGGTTTCTAAAATCATCAGGAAATCATGATAATCTGATCTTGTGTGTCAGCGTTTGTGTTCCACCTCCAGGGCTCCCTCTGCTCAGAAATCTCCCAGCTCATGGTCCGAACACAAGCCCTAACTCCAGATGAAGATTAAAACAGAAATCAGAGTTGGTGAAAGTCTGCAGAGTCGTTTAACATGTTCCTTTTTCATTGTTCTTTTTAAGGTTTAAAATGTACAGAGAGAAAAAACTCTGGGTTTTTAAACAAAAACATGTCCATTGTAAAAGAATGTGATGTACATTTTTTTCATTTAAGTAAATGAGTTTTAAGACATGATGGAGTCTGTTTTCTTGGGGTGTAGTTCCCCTCTTCGTCCACATGGTGTCAGTGTAACAACGAGCATAAAGCTCTGCAAACCAATATTAACCCATTCCTCATCTTTAAGCCTGTTGTTGTAGTTTTCAATTCTCATATGAAAAATGTGATCAGTTACATTTTTTTAAACAGGAACAATGTGACATAAGTTTATAAATGGTCGCCACCATGATTTAGAAAAATAAAGGTAACGCTTAAACAACACAATGTACCTCTTAAGTCAGTCACACTTCAGTGAAATCACACTGTCCACTTAGGAAGCAACTGACAACATGCTGCTGTGCAAATGGAATGAACAGGTGGAAATTACAGACAGTTAACAAGACATCCCCAACCTAGAAGTGGTTCTGCAGGTGGTGACCACAGACCACTTCTCAGTTCTGATGCTTTCTGGATGACGTTTTGGTCGCTTTTGAATGCTGGTGGTGCTTTCACTCCAGTGGTAGCATGAGATGGAGTCTATTGCCCACACAAGTGGCTCAGGTAGTGCAGCTCATCCAGGATGGCACATCAGTGTGAGCTGTGTCAAGGTTTGCTGTGTCTGTCAGCGTAGGGTCCAGAGCATGGAGGCGCTACCAGGAGACGTGGAGGAGGGCAGCAACCCAGCAGCAGGACCGCTACTTCTGCCTTTGTACAAAGGAGGAAAAGGAGGAGCAGTGCCAGAGCCCTGCAGAACGACCTACAGCGGGTCACAAATGCTCACAGCCCAATGCTGTGCAGGACGTTTGGCATTTTCCACTGGCAAAACGGCCCCTGGCATCCTGTGCTCTTCACAGATGTAAGCAGGTTCACACTGAGCACACGTGACAGTCTGGTGATGCTGGGAAGAACGTTCTGCTGTCTGCAACATCCGCCAGCATGATCAGTTTGTCAGTGGGTCGGAAACGGTGTAGGGTGGCATTTTTTAGGGGGCCTCAGAGCCCTCTGTGTGCTCGCCAGAGGTAGAATGACTGCCATTAGGTACAGAGATGAGATCCTCAGACCCCTTCTGAAACATAATCCCCACAGCTGTGGGAGGTCTGGTTATTATAATAGGGTCTGGTTGTCCCTGGGTTCCTCCTAAAGCAAGACAATGCTAGACCTCATGTGGCTGGAGTGTGTCAGCAGTTCCTGTAAGACGAAGGCATTGATGCTATGGTCTGGCCCGCCTGTTCACCAGACCTGAATCCAGCTGAGCATATTTGGGACATCATGTCTCGCTTCATCCACCACAGACTCCAGGAGTTTGCAGATGCTATAGTCCAAGTCTGGGAGAAGATCCCTCAGAAGACCACTCACCACCTCATCTGGAGCATGCACAGGCATTGTGGGGAGGTCATACAGGTCACACACACTGCTGAGCTTCATTTTCACTTGTTTCAAGGACATTGCATCATAGTTGGGTCAGCCTGTTCTTCCACTTTAATTTTGGCTGTGACTCCAAATCCAGACCTCCTTGAGTTGATAAGTTTGATTTCCATTTATAATTGTGTGATTTTGTTGTCAGCACATTCAATGATGTAAAGAACAAAGTCTTTAGTAAGATTATTTCATTCATTTAGATCTTGGATGTCTTATTTGTGTCTTCCTATATGTTTTTGAGCAGTGTATATTACACACAGTGGTTTTCTATATTAGACCTGCTGACCCACTCTAAGCCACTGCTGAAAGGAAGTCCATATATGGAAAAAGATGTGAAGATAAGTGAATCTGTTTGTCTTTTGCTGTTAGAAACTAATAACTAAAAACACTTAAATTAGCCAAACTGAATCACCATCAGTGTGTGAATGGATGAATGAATGACTGACTAGTGTAAAGTACTTTGGAGTCCTCTGACTCAGAAAAGCACAACACACGTGAAGCGTGAATCATTTCTCATTCATGTCAGAGGTCTGAAACCCAGAGCGGATTGTATCTGAGCAAACACTCAAACTACCCATGTACTAATGAATATCCACAACATTTCATCTGCAATAGAAATGTGCCATAAATAATTATGAGGCCATAATAGACCAGAAGCACTTGAGCGGCACCACGTCCACGTGATTTATTGAACGTAAGTATTTCTTTTAATTAGGTCATTATTCAAGCTTAATAGCCATTCATTAGTGAATCTTACTATGTCAGCATACTTGTGTTTACGTTATGAGAATGGTTTCTCTCCTCATTAACATCCACATTTATCCAGGGAGGATTTTCAGAGCCTAGTCAGATCAATGACTGGTGCTAAATTTACCACAACATAACCACGCCAATTTTCTTTTCTGTACGTTCTAAGATACTTTTAAATGTGAGTTTATAGTCTCCACATTCCCTTTGCCTGCAGAGTTCCTGTCTCCAAGGCCACCGCCAGTGGAAGGAGGACACACAGCGTCACGTTTGGGTCAGCGGTCTCATCTACATTCCTGTGCTGCTCTGGTTTTTGGGAAAAGAGAGGAAGGTTTGACGAACAGATGTGCCAACTTGGTCAACAAGTGACACACCAGTGCCAATAAGGTCCAAATCCTTCCCTTATGACTTGGACACACATGAGCACACACACAACCTTCCCAGAGGTCTCCAGCTGTTTTCTGTGTAATGAAGTCTGGGCAACAGGAGGCAAAGTGTGTGAGCTCAGCTGCTGCTGAGCTCCGGGTATCACTGCAGCACAGCATGCGTTTTAAATGTCTCCAAGACCAAATGAGGAAGTTCAATCCTATGTCTGAAAACAGTTACTTGTTCAAGAGTCGTGCCGATGTTTGGTCTCTCCCTCTGTCTTGTGTTGACGCTCACACTGGTTTTTTACGCTCTTCGTATTTAGATTCAGACATTTTGAGAATACGCACTTTGCAAGGGAACCTTATGAGACGGAAGGTTTCCTTTAAATAAACTGGCCAACAGTTATGTTGACTTTTTAAGATGGGTGTCCAAACCTTTCAAGTCAAGGGCCAAAGTTTTCAAGGTAATATCCTTTGTTCACCATAAAAATGTTAGGTAACGCTTCCTTTTACAGTTCCCTAATTACTAAGTACTTACCATGTAAGTACTTAGTAAGTTAAAGTGTATTATTGTGTAATTAAAGTGTATAATTGTAACAAAGTGTAATTATTGTGTAAAGCAGTATTTACTGGGAATGGTTAATGAAAATAAAAACTAGAATTGAACCTGAGTTACATGGTTATAACTGTTTAAGAACTCCGAAACAATAATACACTTTAACTTGCTATGATAAATGATAAATGACCCGCACTTGTATAGCACCTCTCAGAGTAAGGACTCCAAAGTGCTTTACACTACAGTGTATCATTCATCCATTCACACACACATTTACACACTGGTCGTGATGAGCTACGATGTAGCCACAGCTGCCCTGGGGTGCACTGACAGAGGCGAGGCTGCCGAGTACAGGCGCCACCGGTCCCTCCGACCACGACCAGCAGGCAAGGTGGGTTAAGTGTCTTGCCCAAGGACACAACAGCAGCATTCTCTGTCCGGAGCCAGGATCGAACCTGCAACCTTCCGATTACTGGACAACCCGCTCAACCTGTTGAGCTACTGCTGCCCTGTGTAATTACCACACATGTACTTAGTAATTAGGGGACTGTAAAAGGAAGCGTTACCAAATGTTTTTTTTAGCTTGCTCCTCAAAGTATGCATGATAGTAAAAATCTTCCAAAGGTGGCTAACTGTGCTGCAATGCTAGTGCTAGCATAACAAAAAATGTAGATCGATGGTCTCTGTTGCATAATCTGTATGTCTGTCCTTCTATGATAATCCATCCATCCATTTTCATCCACTTATCAGGGGTCGGGTAGCGGGGCCATTAGCCTAAGTCAAGAGGCCCAGACTTCCCTCTCCCCAGCCACTGGGGCCAGCTCCTCCGGGGAAATCCCAAGGCGTTCCCTGGCCAGGTGAGAGACATAGTCCCTCCAAAGTGTTCTGGGTCTACCTTTAGGTCTCCTCCCAGTTGGACGTGCCCGGAAAACCTCACCAGGGAGGCGTCCAGGAGGCATCCTGACCAGATGCCCGAGCCATCTCAACTGGCTCCTCTCGATGTGGAGGAGCAGCAAATCTACTTCGAGCCCCTCCCGGGTGATTGAGCTTCTCACCCTATCTCTAAGGGAGAGCCCAGCCACTCTGCGGAGAAAAGTCATTTCGGTCGCTTGTATCCGTGATCTCGTTCTTTCCGTCACTACCCAAAGCTCATTACCATAGGTGAGGGTAGGAACGTAGATTGACCGGTAAATCGAGAGCTTCTCCTTCTGACTCAGCTCTCTCTTCACCATGACAGACCGGTACAATGCCCACATCACTGCAGATGCAGCACCAATCCATCTATCGATCTCATGCTCCAGTTTTCCCTCACTCGTGAACAAGACTCCGAGATAGTAAAACTCCTCCACTTGGGGCAGGACTTCATCCCTGACCCAGAGAAGGCATTCTACCCTTTTCCGAATCAAGACCATGGTCTCAGATTTCTTCTATAATAATGCTACAGCTAATATTTTGTTAGCATCTCAGCCTACAAACAATTCAGCACATGTGCAAAATCTGTGTGATGTTACTGTTGAGTTAAGCTGCAGTACTTGTAATTCTCCACAAAGGGGAGCTGTAACACATGACAGTAATTAGTGCAGCTCTTAATGTCAAGGATTGACACGGGGCAATATGTCTCCATTCACCATCGATGATGCTCAGTGCTGCTAAATGAACCTGGAAACAATAATGTTGATGAGCAGGTCACCATCACATTCTTCTGAGGTTGCAGGTTGTTTTAGGAGATCCGAACATCATCAAAATGTAAATAAATAAAATAGGGGTTTTTGTTATTTTAACCTAACTTTTATTTTTTCAGCCTCTGACCTGAGCTGACCGTCACTCTCCAGAGTTTTAAGTCACTCGACTGTTTAAATGAGCTTGACCTGGCTTAACCTGCTGCACCCCCATCGAGACATTCACTCATGAATATTTTAACGGAAGTTTGCTTATTGCAGAATGAA